TGCTGTATACCACAGGGCATCTCAGGCACCAGCCGATCTCTTTTACAGCCTCGCGCTTGCCTGAGCTCCTTGTGAACCACTCAGGCCTCCTTTCTTCCAGATTCCAGCCTAGCTCTCTCTCAGCATACTCCTAAGCAGAAAGAACCTCCAAGATGCAACTTTTGACCTTTTAATTATTGTATTTTGAATGCCCATTACATTTCTGATTCAATCGCTCTGAGACGGGTAGTCGGAATACAGCCACATCTGGCGAGCAGAATTATCTGCAGGTGTCATTGCCCTGGGCTTCGTCTGCAGGCGTAGAGTACCCTGCTTCTGTGGTGCCAGGCGGAGCAGAACAACTGGAACCACACAGCCGTTCTCAGTTCTACAGTTGGTACGACTGACTTGTTACAGGTTATCTTTTTTTGAATCAGTAAAATATGTAAAATCACTGATAATGTAAAACTGCGTATAAAATAAAACATTCAGATAAAGCTCAAATGTAACACAATCACCCTTTTTAAAAGAAAGTATGCATCACTTTTTCTTTAATGCAATTTACACTCTTACAGTAGTGATAGGATTATAATGCCATCCAGGAAAGAGACTTGATTTCAAGTACAGCAGCCCTTCTCTGAATTTCTGACCAGTTCCAGTTCCTATTCCCCACTTTTTCTAAACTCGTCATTTGCTTCATGACTGCACTTACTTCCTAACACAACAGCAGCTGAACCATCAAGTGTGAGCTCCCTTAGCCTTCTGGGTCCCGGGCCCCCACCACTCCTGCTCTGCACAGCCATCCTCTCCCCCTTACCCTTGGCCCTCCCACCTCAGGGAAGGGGAAAGAGTCTGTTTTTTTATTCAGAGCTAGTCCCTCTGCCCTGGTCCCATCTCCACTGGGTGCCCTCAGGAAACTCCCTCCACGGGCTACCTCCTCTGTCTCCATCCCTTCCACTCTTCCCCTCCCACCTCACTCCCACACCTGTTCCTCTGCTCCTGTTCCCCCTGTTAATGCCATCTTGCCTCATCAACGGGCCCCAAAGCCTAAGACTTGGCCCCAGTCCTCCTCCTCTCCTTTGCCTGTGACTCAGTCCGTTACGGAGTCCTACTGATCCTGCCTCTGCGTTCTCAGTCAGCACTGCCTGAGTTCAGATCCATGTCATCCGGCACCTGGACCACTGCTGTAGCAGCCGCCTGCTCTGTCTTCCTCCAGCCTTGTTTCCTTAAAAATCTTCAGTGGCCCTGCATTGCTGACTGAACAAAGTATACGTTTGCAGGTATGGAAGAGGCCCCATCTGCCCCTCTCTGCTCCTGCCGCGCCAGTCACTCCCACCCCACCCACACTGAACTGCCTCACAATCCTCTAAACATCCCATTGTTTCGCTCCTGGTGTGTCTCTGATTTCCTTGGAGCAGCCTTTCCTAATGCATCCTCCGACACACACAACCCCATTTAAGCCTGATTCTGCTCACCTGGAAGCCTCAACTCATTCATCTTAACCAAGCAACGCCCCTCCCCAGCTGCCCTTATACTTTGCAGCCACTTTCAGAAGAGGCTTTTCATGTTGTATTTAGCAGGAGAAGCCTATGGTGAATTCCTTGAGCCAATATTTTAAAAAATTTTTGTATATGTCATCACTTAATGTTTGTAAATGAATAAAAATGATTAGTGCATGAATGATGTCCATTTGTTTTGATAACCTTTAGGAGGATCAAAGAGACACAAAGACTACAATATTCAGTTTTTAAAGTACAATCCAGTGTCATGGAGTCAGGAAAGTAAAAAAATTTAAGAAATAACAAGTTTTAGATACAAAAATTCAAAAGGAAATTCATTTAAGTCCTGTTACACAAATACTAGTTTAGCAAGCTTCTGGTGCTTCAAGGCCTACTTCTAGAACCATTTCCTTGAGAGCTTAAAAACCTGTCCGGGAAGGAACTGAATCAAGAACAATTTCCTAAAGATTGCTTTCTGAGATGCATGTGTGATCCTGATTAAAGAAATGTCACAAGGTTTTCAAAATGCCACATTCACTACTGCTTTGTGAAGGCAAAGCAGGGAATTGGTTCTATAACAACATCTCAGTACCCAGTGCTGTTTGCCAAGAGCCCTTCTTTGTTCCAGTGATTTACACACCAGTGGAACTTAAACACCTTTTATCATGAATAACGGCAGGTACAAAACCAGGACTTCTCCACTCTTCTAGTCCAGTTTATTAACGTTACCAAGTTAAGTGACACTGGATTATCCTGAGATTGCCCCTAAAACTAACTTCACAGTTCTGTAGCTATTTTGTAACTATATAACTTTTAAAATATGAGTCAGTGCTATCTATTTCACTCAGTTGCCTCAGATTAAAAGCAAGATTGCATACTTTATCCAGTTTTATTCACTCAGAGGAACATAGGCAAAAACAAAGACATCAGACACTGTCTGGATGTTAATCTTGGGCTCAGCTTCAGGAACTCCAGGAAATGCTTTCAGTTTGAAGGCTCTGAACATCACTAACAACCCAGAAGCAACTGTGTCTGCATTCCTGACACTTCCATAAAAAACACAGACAGGATTATGGCCTTCCCACCCCCGCCCCCCCAAAATCAACACAAAGTTTTGTACTTGAGTTCACTTGGCAGCGACCAGAGCCACAAGTACATACCTGCTTGTAATGAACCCTGGGCTATGCACTGTTGCCTTATATGGATATTTTGGCCAGCAGTAGTAGTTTGAATTTTAATATACCATATTTCATTGATTCTACTACATGTTTTTGTTTTGTGTGTGTGGTTTTTTTTTCATTTTAACATCTCTGAAATTTATAATCTGAAGCTTACAATCAGTGACATGCCATAAGTTAATTGGTGATTTCTCTACCTGGAATATATGTATCTTACATTCAGAGCAAGTCTTATGTTCAGTGGCATCTTAAGTTTGAAGTTTATTTATATATTTGTATCAGTCTTAAAATCACTTACCAATAAACAAGTGAGACCTAATTAAACTTAAAAGCTTTTGCACAGCAAAGGAAACCATAAACAAAATGAAAAGACAATATACATAAGAGGAGAAAATATCTGCGAATGAAGTGACTGACAAAGAATTAATTTCCAAAATATACAAACAGCTCATACAGGTCTATCAGAAACAAACAGTCCAACCAAGAACTAGGCAGAGGACCTAAATAGACCTTTCGGCAAAGAAGAAATACAGATAGCCAAGACACATATGAAAAGATGTTCAACATTGCTAATTATTAGAGAAATGGAAATCAAAGCTATGGTGAGGTACCACCTCACACGGGTCAAAATGGCATCCTTAAAATGTCTATAAACAATAAATGCTGGAGTGGGGTTAGAGAAAAGGCAACCTTCCTATACTGTTGGTGGGAATGTAAATTGGTGCAGCCACTATAAAGAATAGTATGGAGGTTCCTTAAAAATCTAAAAATAGAGCTACCATATGACCCAGCAATCCCACTCCTGGGCATATATCTGGAGAAAACCGTAATTCAAAAAAATACAAGGACCCCAGTGTTCATTGCAGTAGTATATATAATATCCAAGACATGGAACAAGTTAAATATCAATTGACAGAGGAAGGGATAGAGAATATGTGGTACATATTTATAGTGGAATACTACTCAGTCATAAAGAATGAAATAATGCCACTTGGAATAACATGGATGAACCTAGAGATTGTCATACTGAGTGAAAGTCAGACAAACATATGATACCATTTATATATGAAATCTAAAGGAAAAAAAAAAAGACACAAATGAATTTATTTCCAAAACAAACTCACAGACACAGAAAACAAATTTATGTTTACCAAAGGGGAAAGCGGGCCAGGAGAGGAATAAATTAGGAGGCTGGGATTAACATATAAACACCACTATATATAAAATAGATAACCAACAAAAAGCAAAACCAAAAAAATCACTTAGTTTCTAAGACCAATTCAGTACATAAACAGAACAGCAGTAAAAGTGACAATATTAGCTGTAATTTCATTGTTTGCAAATCAGATTGTCACACTATGGTTTTGACTCTTGTATTACTATTTTCTGCTGGAGGAAATAATATATTTAAGAAATTATCTCAAGTAAATATAATTGACGCAGATCAGTAACTTCCTTGTTCCCTCTCCCTTTTCTTCTAACCTGTTTCTTGAGTACATTTTCAGCCAATATTTGCTCAGAAGTCTAGAATGTTAATAAGATGTTTTTTTCTTTATTCTTTAATGTTCAGGATTTGGATGTATTGTTTTTCTGTTCTACCAGTGTTTTTTCATCTGGTTTAAGCTAAAATGGCTTCTCCTTCCTATGCATAAAGTCTAGAGGTATTTTAGTGTTTGAATTCTTTGGGAGTCCCTTTCTTAGGGATAAAAGAATCTACTGCAGTAAAACTTTCATGAGCTGGGAAGATGAGTAATTATTGTATTCACAGGGTTTCTGATTAACTGTAATTTCTGTAGTTTCTAAAATATGTTTTCTTGGCTAACATAGTAAGTATCAAAACGGTTTTGAACAGAAATTGGCCCTTTTTGATGATTCTGTTGTGACCAGTCACCAAATATCACCTTCAACACCCACGGCCCCAACTGTGATGACAGAGAACAGAAGGTGGCTCATCCGACAGAATCCTAACAGGATCCAGAAAGGTTTTACATCACTCCTCATCCTCCTCCTCCGTGCTGTAGCGCTCAGAATACGCCAGTGCTTGCATAACATGTAGATGAAACTGCTTACAGCTGGAGGGAACCAGTTGGAAAGTTCCACTGTGAAAACTGTTTTCAAAAGTAAATCACAGGATATTGGCTTGATTTATCACCATTTCTAAAACAAGGAGAAGATCAAGCTCTGAAAGACATTTTAAATGCTTGATTCCACTTAACCAAGGTTTTTGTACATGTAACCGTATTGTGCCTCTTCATACTAACTGTGACTTGTGTATGAGTGCTTTGATGGGAAATAATCTCACGTATGGGTTTCCCCTGGCCACTTTGTCACTACTCTTTTTCAGGTCCATACATTCAGAGGGCCACACTGGTGTGAATACTGTGCCAATTTCATGTGGGGGCTCATTGCTCAGGGAGTGAAATGTGCAGGTAAGACCTCTTTCCTTTTCTCTTTATTGAGTAAGACATGAAGTTATAAGGAATAATTTACGAGGAGACTGGCTGTTAGGCACATACAATGGGCTGAATCCCTATTTGCTCTTAACATGCAGTAGGCCGAATTCTCAGGCATCCAGTTTGGATATTGATATTTTATCTGCCTTTAACCTTCTTATACTTAATGGGAAGCAGTCTGATCCATTAAAAAGAGGGAAGTCATCTTGTTCAGAAAGTCTGATAAAAGGAGGTAAAAGTAAGGCAGTTAAGTTTGCCTTGCCTTTGATGTTGCAGTAACTAAATTTGTAAAAATGATTTTTTTTTAAAGCAGTGTACAGGGACCTATGATTGTTGCCTTAGAAACTGAATTTTAAAAGCTTTTTAAGCTGAATTGTCCTTACTAAATTTTGTGAAATCAAATTGAAGCTTTAAAAACCTGTGAATTTATCTTCAAAGATGATTATCATATTTTGAAAAACCACTTAGTCACTGATACTTTGTTTTTGATATTTTGAAATCTTGAATTTGCCAAATCCTTTTTATAACATATGACTATAGTATTTTAGATTTAAATTTAGAAACTTGTAAGATTTCCACATAAATAACCAGCTCAGGGATTTATTGAAATGCTTTATGAAATAAGTGTTACTGAAATCATGTGAAATTCATTTATATAGAACAACTATACTGAGTACTGGCCATTTAGTCAACAGCTCTAAATTCTGGCATAGACTTAAAAATAATTATTTGTTTCAAGTGTGTGATGTTAGGTCATAGAAGTTTCTGCTATTTAAATTTTAAAGCTAAAAAATATGTTCCTACATGTTTTTTGCATGAAGCTTAACTCTAAATATGTATATGAAGAGTAAAGTATTTTGAAATGGTAACTGAAGTAACTGTCAAATTTAACACTAAAAATCTACATTTCTTTTGTGGCATGATTCTTAATGGAATACTTTTGTTGTCCATTATTTGCAGAAACTTCTAGAGTCTGACTTTTTTATTTCTCAATTGCATTTTCTTTGAATAGCAAGATAAGTATGCATTGCATATGAGCATTCCAAGTTACCCTCCCCCCACCTTCAGTTATGACTTCCTTAGCACCACTAAGGCATAATAAGGTTCCAGGCATATATTACTAGCCAGATCCATTCATGGACTTCCCTGCTACATGGAGCGGTAAGCATTCCCCACGCCTTGACTTTGAACTCTGCAAAGGTGTCCTTCAAGGAGAGCCTCAGCTCAGAGCCAGTCTGATTCCTCCATCATCCTAGAGGACTGACAGCCCCATTTGCAGATTTCTGCCTAGAGAGTAAATGAGATCATTATCTTTCTGGCTGGTGGTTGCCCAAAGTCAGTATGAGGAAGCATCACTGGGAAGGCTGTGGTTGAGCCTTGAATTGAAGGGGACCACAGTGGAACATGGTGGTACAGTTAAGATCAGCCACATTGTCGTGGTGTTTCAAAGGCAAATGATGTACACTTTCCAAAGCACAGAATGATGGTCTCGATAAGCCTGGTTTGCCTTTATGACATAACCTTGACCATCTGAGACTGCAGTGATTTTTAAACACTTTATGACTGTCACTAACTCAAACCCTTTTCTTTCACTAGAGTGATGATGTGTATCATGTATGTTTTGAAAGAGTGAAGGCCATCTACATGAGAATTCTGAGTTAGCTATTAGCAGAAAACTAGCACCACACATATGAATAATTTTTGGCAATATGCTACAGTCCTAAATCATATTTGAAAGAAATGTTTTTGAATGTTTATGATAGTAATAATGTGAAGGAAAAGAAAGAAAATGATTCATCCCATCCCATAGGCACTGACTTGATTGAATAGCCTTTTCTTTTTATTGTGAGTAAAGGTCAAGAATGTAAAGAAAAGCTCATTGGTTTTATGTTATATCTTGCCTTCAAAAGCATTATATTCTGTGTGATTGGAACTGTATTACTGAGCTGTGTAAAACAGGTCAACCCAGTTTTTAAATGTGGAAGGTTGGGATTTGAATTATTCTATGACAACTAATTACATTTAGATTGACAGTGAGATTCTTTCATCTAAAATGGCTCATCCTGATCTTTGAGCCATTTACTATATTTAAAACAAAATGCAAAGAATTAACAAAGAGAGAGAGAACTATGGTAGGGTGAACACTGGCTGCCCACAAATGTCTGCTTCCTAATCACCAGAACCTGTGACCATGGCACAGGTTTTGCCTTTCATGACAAAGGAGACTCTGTGACCAAGTTAAGGAATTTGAGATGGGGAAGAGTCCTGTGGATTGTCAGAATGGGCCCAATGTAATCATAATTGCAAGAGTCCCTAGAAGAGCGATGCAGGAGAGGCTGATTCAGAGGAAAGATAGAAGCACAGAAGCAGGGGTCAGGAAAGAGCAAAGATGCTATACAAGCTGGCTTTGAAGGGGGCCACGAGCCAATGAATGCAGGCGGCCTCTGGAAGCAGGAAAAGGCAAGAAAAGAAACAGACTCTCCCCTGGAGCCTCCAGAAGGAACACAGGCTAGCTAAGGCCTTGATTTCAGTCCAGTGAAACTGATTTGTACTTCCGACTTCTAGAACTGTTAGATGATACACTTGTATTGTTTTAAACCACTGAGTTTATGATAATTTGTTACAGCAGCAATAGTAAACTAATACACTAGCCACTAAACAGTAAAGCTGGTACTTCCAAAGAAAAATGGCTTGCTTACAACTTGTCAGAAAAGAGATGTATCTATCTGCTTTTGACAGCTTGCTTTCTTCTGGTTTCTTTTTTTCAAAATACACCAAGGCAGAAGAGAGCCTGTCAGGAACTTTTAAAGAATGTTTGGCAAAAGCAGCAATTTTGTATCCCACCACCCTTTTTTTTTTTTAAACATTATATAAAGTGTTGGGTGGTGTTCCAGTCACCAGGCTGGCAGCCAGTAGTGAGCAGCCTGTCCCTTCAGGACCCAACGCTCTAGGCTTGCTCAGCCGCCCACACAGACAAGGACAGCGGAGGGAACAGCAAGGGTATGCATGGGCCTGGAGTCACTGCAGACGTGCTCTCCAAAGCCCCATAGTCGGCGTTAAACATCTCCACTGCCAGTCTCCCTTACTCTCGCCTTCTTTAAACTGAGTAAAACGACATTGCAGGGGACCATCTAACTGCAGCTTGGGAGCACTGCTCCTCCTACTAAAATAGTTGTGAGCAAAGTAAGTAGCGTTCAGAAGTAAAGGGCAAAGGATCGTTGTTGTTCAGATAGAATAATACTAGACCATTTTTCCTTTATGAAATGTAAGCTTATAGGTTAAAGTAATCTATTATTATTACATAATCACTGAGATCATCAAACATCCCTCTCATTAAAAAGACCATTATTCTACCAGCATTCCTGAATTGTTTTTATTTAGCCTGCCCAGAATATTCTAAGAAGTTAAGCCGGATGATAATTGTAAATCAGGCCCATCAGCTTAGTGTTTGTTATTTAGGAAAGTGACTTCATTTTTCCAGTGTATCATTGTCATTGCTGCCAGCCCTCAAAAGGAAATAGCAGCAGTTTCTTCCTAATAATAAAATGTATTTATTGCTTTGTGTATAAAGCACTTAACTTCTAGGTTGGAGAAAGGAAAGTAATGTCTTTTAATTACTGCTTTGATTGTATCTAAAAAGTTACATTTGTCCTTGTAACCCAATGAGAAATTGGTCAGACTTGCTTAAGACTTTCATGTAGCTCCTTTAATACATGAAAGCGGTATTTTCATAATATCCCAAAAAACAAAATATTCTTCTTAATTTTGTTGGTGAAAATAAGGCCTTCTGATGCATGTTAAAAATGGCCTAGTCCCACTTTTCTGGGGTGGTGGTGGGGACAACTAAGAGACATGTTTAAAAACTATTTGCAGTTATTCAAAGTGAGAACATGCATAGAAAAGAATGAATAATTACCTTTCTTTTTAAAACACACATTAATATTACCCCTTAATACTGTCAGTGGAGTATAAATATCAGCTATCTATTTCAGAAATAGGTTTCTGTGCTTTTTAGATATAAATCACATTTTTTTGTAGAGAACTCAAGCCCAGAAAATCTGACAGTAACTTCAAGTTAGTAGTCTTAACAGAAATACTTTATAAGGATAGAATAAGATATGTTTTGAATTTCTCATTCTCATTCTCCTTTCTTGTGTTTATTCTATGCTTATTAACTTGAAGAATTGGGGAGGGACAATGTGGTTTAATTGTAACATAAAAGTAACCTGCCAAGCCAAGAAATGCAACAAATGAAATAATCTTTTATGGATTTTTTTTTCATTTATAGTGTAGAGCTTCCCTGGGAGAAATGGAACTATATAGGAGTTATATGACTTTAATAAATAAGTATGAAAACCAAATAAAGTCTTAATGGCAAACTGAAATATTGATATACTGCTAGTCCCTGAAGCAGCAATTTTCAGAGCACGCTCAGAGCTGGTATATTGCACTGTGAACTTAAGGGTATAAAGATGCTTTATTTTAATGACTTTGCCCTATCCTTTGGTCCTCTGAAGGACTTCATATCCAATCCTGCCAAAAATTTGGCCTTTGAAATTTCTAAAATTGAGCATAATATATTGTCCCATAGTTTAATCTTATTCAAATGGAAGAAAGAATATCAGTTTAGGAAACATTTCCATCCTCATTAAAAACTAAATCTGACCATAGTCATCACTTATTCCAGTTTTCACCGAATCACAAATAAATTGGGTGTTTGCTGATGTTTAAAATGGGAGATAACTGCAAACACTCAAAGGAAAAAAAGTTAGTATCAGACCATTAGTGAAGATTGAGGGCAGGAGGAGAAGGGGATGACAGAGGATGAGATGGTTGGATGGCATCACCGACTCGATGGACATGGGTTTGGGTGGACTCCGGGAGTTGGTGATGGACAGGGAGGCCTGGCGTGCTGCAGTTCATGGGGTCGCAAAGAGTCGGACACGACTGAGCAACTGAACTGAACTGAGTGCCATTCAGATATTTTGATATTCTGTGGATACATTCAAATTTTACTGTTTCCTTTCTACTGGATTTCCATTTAGAGTTTATAGTTAGGAAAGAATGTGACAAAATAAGATATAATGGGTAAGTTTTATCACTGCTTTTTAAACGTCCTTCCCAGATCATGTATTGATACCTATATAACAGTAAAATACAGCCGTGTCTTTTAAACTTAAGTATATACAACAGATAATAGAAACAACACACGTTATTGAATAAGAGGTTGAAAACAGCAGATTCATCTTTAGCTCTGAAAATAATAACTCAGTGTACATGGTGTACTGCTAGTGAAAAGTGATATATATATCACTGAGTGGGAAGACCACAGGCTAGGAATTAAGAAACCAAGGTTAAAATCTCCTTTCTGCCACTTTTTGGCCGAGTAACTTTTGAACAAATCCTTCAGCCTCTCTGTGCCTCACTGTCTTTGTGAAATGAAGACGGTGGGGTAGGTTATAAATGCCAGCCCTTTCCAGCTGGTTCTGTGACTTCTGTACACACACTTAAAGCATTAAAGTATCTTAAAGTAACTTAAAGTACCTCAGCATTATTTTTAGATAATGAAGCTCTGCCGACTTTTATACTTCTAAAATACTATGTGAGAGTTTTTCCAGTGCTAGAGGAGATGAATAAATAGTCTTTTTTTTATTCCTCACAATGATGGTAACAAAAGATCCTGGACAGAATATGTATGTCAACTATCAAAAGACTGTGAAAGTTCGGTGTAAGAAGGAAGGCTGGGACTTCCCTGGTTATCCAGTGGTTAAGACTTCTTGCCTTCTAACGCAGAGGGTACAGGTTTGATCCCTGGTCAGGAAGCTAAGTTACCATGCACCTCGGGGTCATAAGACCAAAACACAAAAAACAGAAGCAAGATTGTAACAAACCAATAAAAGTCTTTAAAAAATGGTCCACATTTCTTAAAAAAAGGTGGCAGCTAAGGAACTCAGAAGTCAGTTGCCTGGTGGTATTTTGGAGTTTTTTTTTTAACTCCTGTGTATCTCAGCCTGAGCATTAGAGACACCCACAAGTCATAAATGCCAGCAGACACAAAAAATAATCCCGAGAGAACCAGCTCTTCCTAGGCAAAGTCCTGGGGAAAGGGCAACTGAGCCAGACAGAAACCTTTTAGCGCATCTGCATTCTCCAGGTGGGCACCATGACAAAGCCACGTTGCTCCCCCGCCCCCGTGGATGCTGCAGCAGAAGCCTGTGGGTAGATCCCGGTTTTCCACCCCACTCTGCAGTCACAGGGTTGCACTTCTCTCCTGTGAGTCTGTGAGTGGAGCCCTGTCTTCCCTCACCATCCTGCAGGAAGAAAGTGGTACCATTCCTTGGCTGAGCCTGTGGGTGGAATGAACCCTGACTTTCATCCTCCCTCTAGTAGAAATAGCACCCATTCAGCCTAAATCTACGGGCAGACCCCTGTCTCCACCCCTGACCTGCAGTAATGAGGCAGCTGAGACCATGATCAGAACTCTGTCTTTAGTGCCCACCCCGCAGTCCCATGCAGCACAGTACTCCTCCCCAACCAGGCATGGAGGCAAACCAAGACTTCATCTCTGCCCTGCAGTAATGTCTAGGACCTCTTCACTGCCCAGAATGTGGGGTTACAGTCTTGCCATTTGAATAACATACAAGTTTGGTGGGCAAAATAGCATTGCAAAAGCATTACAAAGGCTTTGTAAACTAGGTTGACATTTGAAACACAGCCTATATAGTGTCCCAGGATATGCATTCTAAATCTAAACAGCTTAACTACCTGCTAAAGTTGAAGATTTCAATAGGGGCCACACAGTCTTATAACACTCAAAATATCCAGGATGCAGTTCAAAATTAAACTTCATTACCAGCAACCAGGAAAATCTCAACTCAGATGAAAGAAGACAATCAATAGTCACCAATATTGAGGTGATATAGATGTTGGGATTATCTGATAAGGAAAACAGCTTTCATAAAAATGTTCCAAGAAGCAATTAGAAAGACTCTTGAAACAAATGAAAAATAGGAAATATCAGAAGGAAATAAAGATATAAGAAAGAATTAAGTGGATGTTTTAGAACTGAGAAACTTATGAACAAAATACCCATAGGATGGGCTTAGTAGTATTGATAGATTGGATATGTCAGAGGCAGGAATCCATGAACCTGAAAAATAGATCAGTAGAAATTATCCAACCCAAATGAGAGGGGAAAATAGATTTTAAAAAGTGAATTGAGCCTCAAAGACCTGTAGGACAGTAACAAAAGATTTAACATCTGTGTTGTTGGAATCCCGGGAGAGGATAAGTGGGAGGGGTAAAAATATTTGAGAAATCAGTGGCTGAAACTCCCCAAATTTGGTAAAGCAGTCAGAGAAAAATGATGTACCTGCTTGGAGGACCTTTCCTTAAATGAAATGTACTAAGAACTGTGTAGATGAGGAAGCAGCTATAACCCCAGCATCCAAGTCCTTTTCAGGGCCTGGCACATCTGACAAACAGAATTGGCCTAGAGGCCAGCTTAGCTCCTGACCCTAAGCTGATCATGACAGTGCCATTCAAGGAACCCTGGGGCACTCCCTAGGAAAGGCCCCTCGGTGTTAATTCCTTCTTCTGGATAACAACGGAGTCATGGTACAGCCTCACATTAACATAATAATAGAAACTAATGATAGATCCAATATTAATGGGTAAATACTATTTTTCCCATTCTATATAAGTCACAGAAAATCTTAAGTAACTTACTCAAAAGCTCACAATTAGTAGATCTAGCTCTAAATTATAGAAGCTGTCCAAAACATTAAAATGTTCAGGATAAATGAGGTCTTTTAGGTGGACATTTTACCACCAATTTGCCTTATGATTGAATCCGAAATCTTATTTATATCTAATACGGAATAAAGAGAAATTTAGGGTTTGGGTCCTGGTCTCATTTGGATATTATTTGGCTATGTGGAACAGTGTTGGGTCATTTCTTCAGATGGTGCACTAGAGCGCCTATGCCTGGCAGCCTTTACGTACTCAAAGCAGCAGCCGTTGTTCTTTAGTGATGGTAATGTTTGGACACTGTCAGCACTACCGTGCCATCTCCCGTGCTATTCACTTACAGACAGACACCTGCAAAGACCCAACTTACCTCTACACCAAGCCTGTCTTTTCACTTGGGAGATGCTCAGAACATAGGACTTCCTCCCTATGAGTCACCACAAGCCTTAAGTTCTTTTGTTAGGTTGGCCAAAAAATGTCTATATATTTGATGAAATAAAAATTTCATTTTTAAGCCATGGCTAATTTTCCTTGTCTCTGTTAACTGTTACTGTTGTATATAACTCAGTTGCAACTTTACCAAAGGTCATAATGATGATCATTGTCAGTATTTGTCTAACATTTTATAATATGCAAATCACCTTGACTACACTGGCTCCTTAATTCTTATAGCAATTCTGTGAGGTGAGTGTTATGCTCCCCTTTCTGCCCAGACAGTACGCAAAGCTGAAGCTTACCCAAGGACCACAGACGGTGGTAATGGCATTGTATGGTTTTCAAATCCATTGTGTGCTAAGTCGCTTCAGTCGTGTCCAACTCTTTGTGACCCCATGGATTGCAGCTTGCCAGGCCCCTCAGTTCGTGGGATTCTCCAGGCAACAATACTGTGGGTTGCCATGCCCTCCTTCAGGGGATCTTACTGCCCCAGAGATCAAACCTGCATCTCTCGAATCTCCTGAATTGGCAGGAGGGTTCTTTACCAACCACCACCTGGGAAGCCCCTAATCCATTAAGACCTGGCTATAAACTGTGTGTAACACCCCCACTTGGATTGGATTTACAGGAGGTCAGTGTCAAGTGACACTGAGCTTAAAAATAAACGGGTAACATTTACCAAAAAACCAGAAAGATAAAATTGAGTTAAATTATTCAGGTACAGTCCATGTTTCCTAAGTCTAATTTAGACAAATATTTGTATTTCTGTCTGCTTCTTCTAAAATGCCATTGTGCTCTTCTTCTTGAAAATAAAATGTCTCAAAATGTTAACTGGAAAATACTTGGGCTCTGGCATTTTAGAATTATAACCCAATAAAATGACAAAGCAAAGGAACAACTTCAGTAGAGGCAGTATGGTATAGGTGTTAAAATCGTGGACTCTACAATCTTTGTAGGCTTGAATCTTGGCTCCATAATGTACTAAATGCTGTAGGTAAGTTAGTTAACACCCGTGTGCTTGGTTTCATCACATTTATAAAAGGGAAGAATAATAACACCTGTTTTATAGAAATTTGTGAGCTTAAATGAAGTAATGTAAAGCACTTGAAATAGTGTGCTTGGCATTAGTAAGCTGTTAATGATAGCAGTAACAAATAATAACTATAGGTATTTTTAGCTATCTAGATGTATTCTATATCATTATCATATGCATATATTTAAAGAGCTATGAGTATATATAAGTATGATCAGCATCATTTTAAGAGGGCCCTTGGATACTCTACTTTTGGGGGTTCAATTCCACTTCCTCAGATTTGTTAAAATGCAGTTATATCCCATATTGAATATAATTTTTATATAACTTTAAAGAAATGGATAAATTTTTAATTGGCATAATATTACATTTTGTAGACATTTAATTGAACACTTATTAACTTTGGTCTGGGTTGGTATTCTCTTGAGATCATACAGTGAGTAAATGATGGAATATGAGCTGGAATTCTAGTCTTCTAACTTAAAATCAAAATTTTCCAAAAGAGAGAATGAGAAGAATGTTCCCCTCACTCTGCTGGCTGAAAGCTAGTCTTTAAACCTAATTCAGGTTGAGGTGCCTTGCCAAAATAGAACACTCAAAATTCTGAAAATAATAATGAATTTTTCCTTTTTAAATTCTTTAGATTGTGGTTTGAATGTTCATAAGCAGTGTTCCAAGATGGTCCCAAATGACTGTAAGCCAGACTTGAAGCATGTCAAGAAGGTGTACAGTTGTGACCTGACGACACTCGTGAAAGCCCACATCACTAAGCGGCCCATGGTGGTGGACATGTGCATCAGGGAGATTGAATCTCGAGGTGAGGCCTTTCCAGCGGGGCTCATAATTCCCCGCACAGCCAGGCTTTCTTCTGCATGTTTAGGGGGAATGATTTCAGATAACAATCTGACAGTCTGAAAGCAGTTAACAAGTAATGAACCAACATGATTTCAAGGTACACTTAACCAGTTATAAGAAATAGTATGCTTAAAAATATATTTATGGATGATGCTTCTTCCAGTCTGTAAAACTTGATATGTAGATGCCAGTTATTTTTTCAGTTTTTATACTTTTCTTAGGTCCAAAAAGCAAAGAAATTAAAAAGAAAAAAAAAGAAAAGAAATAAATGCTCTGTTTAAAACTATCCTAGGCCAACCAACCAAAAACCAGAACTACGCCCTAATTAGTCTCTGACACTTTGGAAATAATTGCTACGGGCCTATTAATATAGCTTATCTCAGTCTTCTCATGTAAAAGAATTTATGGTATAGTAGTGGTGATGAAATTATTTCCCTTAACACTTAAGGCATTTGATCTAGTTAGACAAAATGATGAGCCAGATTACAGATATTCAGGTGACAGTAGGTCAGAATTAAAGAACTGTGAGTAAAACTATTTTATTTTAGGAGAAAAGTATGAAGAGGTTTCTAAACATACATATTTCTAAACATATTTATTTCATCATTCTTCCTGACACATTACTTCCCAGCCTGAAGTATGACAAGAAGTTAAAATCTGAGGAAAGGACATTACCCCGAAGAGACTAATTAGCTCCCCTGTTTTATTTTTACAGGTCTTAATTCTGAAGGACTGTACCGAGTCTCGGGATTTAGTGACCTAATTGAAGATGTCAAGATGGCTTTTGACAGAGGTGTGTTTTCCAGCAGGTTCATTATCTTAGGACAGTAATACCCTACCCAAAGAGACAACAGTTTCTTATTTTATTCTTTCCATTGTTTTTCTAAATCACTAATTATTATTATGCCAAATAAAATGACTTAGCTTATAATTTTTATAATTTCTGTATTAGTTGTAAGTATTAAGCTATTAAATTTCAGGATGAGAAGGAAGTATAAAATTTAACTATATTACCAATATTTGAGTCTCCAAGGCTGGTCCATGTTCACCAAAATATATACAGAGCAATTAAATTTACCAGAAACCATGGTGAAAACAGTGGAGGTGAGTGGGAGAGGAAGGGATCTAAAGGATTACAGAGCTCAGATTTCCAAGGTCTGTTGTGGCCGACCTAACTCTGCCTGCTGTGCATGCCTCCCCAGCATCTTGTCATCCAAGTTCAAGCTCATTAATTTTTATATAAGAAATTTAGGGTTTTGACCACATTTGCTAATTAGCTTACTTCCTGAAAGCTTTACTTCTGAGTTGATATGATCTATTTGGTAAAAAGGAGAAGCTTTGTGAATTTTCCTGTAAGTTGGCATGCATGCTTAGCACTTCCCAGCTAATTGACTGTTGGAATGGTATTACATGGTCAAAGTAGTCTTCTCTCCAACATTGTTATGCTGAAATATTGTATTAAATCTCCAATATCACAAAACTGCCAAAATATGTGGATTTGAAAGACCAACCAGAAAAAAAAAAATTCAAGCTCATGTGTTGGGGCAAGAATCTGAGAGGACCTGAAGACCTTCTGGCCCCAGACCCCTCTGTGGGAGGAGGGGGCCCAGCCAAAGAAAAGCTCAGTGCAGCTTTTTCTTTTAACATTTAAATTAAGGTTTTGTTCCCATGGTTCTCTGATTTGTTTTGTTTTGAGCACTGGAATAAGTGGTACCAAAGAGCTATAAGCTTGAATATGGGAAGTAAAAAGAACAGGAGTTGTGATCGTGAACAGACCCTTTTCTTTGCAAGTACACACTTCTGGTTCCATCACACTCCTCTCCCATCACAGACCTCTAACAGCCACCAGAGGCAGAAGACAAAAAAAATGAGATATTATCATCAACACAGTAAGAGGAAATCTAGGTCAGCCCACATATTTGACAAGGTTGAAGAAGACGAGGCGAAGAAATGGCATCGGGAACAACTCTGAATCTACACAAGGTTGAATGTTAAGAGGCATTTCTTTTTCTCTGGAAGGTAGCAACTGATCAAGTCCATTCCCAGCCACTGGCCGTGGGAGATTTGCCATATAACCCCTCCTTTCTTGCTCCTGGCCACAGTTTCCTCTGTTAACATCTCTCATTCATATAATACAGTCTGTTACAATTGTGAGCCAACATTGATGTCAGTACATTATTACTGACCAAAGTCAGTAGTTTACGTTAAAGTTCATCTTTATGTTGTACAGTTTTGTGGTTTTGGGCAAATGCATAACGTCACATATCCACCATTACAGTGCCATCCAGAACTTTCACTACTGTACCAATCATTGCACTCCACCTGTTTTTCTTCCCCTTCCTCCCCTGAATGCTACTGATCTTCTTACTGACTCCATAGCTTTGCCTTTTCCAGATTGTCAAATAGTTGGAATCATACAGTATGTAACTTTTCCAGACTGGCCTCCGTTACTTGGCAGTGTGCATTTAAAGTTCCTCCGTGTCTTTCATGGTTTGAGAGCTCATTTATTTTTATCACTGAATAATATTGTTTTTGTGGGTATACGACAGTTTATCGGTTCACTTATTGAAAGCCACCTTGGTTGCTTCCATGTTTTTGGCAATTGCAAACATAGCTGCTAGAAACATTTTGTGTGCAGGTTTTTGTGTGGACAAAAGTTTTCAGTTCCTTTGGGTAAATACTAAGGAGTATGATTGCTGGATTACATGGTAAGTGTTTGTTTAGCTTTGCAAGCAGCTGCCTGTTTTCTGAAGTGGCAGCTCCTCTTTGTATTTCTGCCAGCGACCAGAGAGAGTTCCTGGGGCTCTACATCCTTGCCAGCATTTGGTGGTGTCGGTGTTCCAGGTTCTAGCCATTCTAATAGCTCTGTAGGGAAGAGGCTGCTTTTTCATCCTTAGAAATCTTCCATAAGCCAAGTGGAATAAAAGAAACTAGTATAAGATCTAGCTCAGAGTAGAAATTAATTAAATCTTTAGTAGATGAAAATTGAGCTGTTTTAACAAAGTACTAAGTGCAGGGGAGGGCAGAAGGGGTCACCCTGAAGGAAGGCCAGCTTTCCTTAAGAGTGTTAAGGCCCAGCAAGTCTAAAATATTCCTGTGTTTTATAATTTCTTCTCTTGGTATCGCAACACTCTAGAGTTTTGTTTTGCTTTTTCCCTTCTCACTAACTCTCCTACCCCCAGGGCTCAGGCAAGATCGAACATTATGTATGGGAACCCAGGGTGAATCAAACGTGGCCTTTTGTGCTGGGTCTTTTGTACGTTGGGAGGATCTCAGTTGTTATTTTTCACATTCTCTCTGTTTATTTTAAAAAGAAAGAAAAAGTTACCCCACAGTATTCCTCTAGGAATTCTCATGAAATTTTAAAATATTTGTGTTAACCTCAGTCATCTCCTACTATCCCCCTCTGTCATAAATCGTGGAAGAATAAATAACTTTACAATAAAAAATTCAGGTTGTCTTCCACAGAAAAAATATAAATATATCAGCACAGTGAATTTGATGTTTAAAATTGAAGTGTTGTGAATCTTTAAAAACAGTGTACAAAAATGTTATTTGTTAAAAGTGCTATGAATCCAGATATTTACTTTTGTTTCTTTTAACATCCTTCAAAGATGGTGAGAAAGCAGATATTTCTGTGAACATGTATGAAGATATCAACATTATCACTGGTGCACTGAAACTGTACTTCAGGGATTTACCAATTCCACTCATCACATATGACGCCTACCCTAAGTTTATAGAGTCCGCCAGTAAGTATGAAGGCATGCACTTGTAACCTGACAAATCGTCTCTCCTAGGTAATCACATCTCCTGTTTTTTTCTGCTGAGTATCTTGAATGCATTTTATGAAATATTTCTCCCTGGCCTCTCTCCATGGCTAATGTACTCACAAGAATTTTGAACTCTTCTCTAACATAGGTTATTTATGACTTCTACCATCAGAAGCATCTTTGTAATGTGTAACCTTTACTTTCCAAAGTAAGGCTTACGCCAGTTCTCCTAGACATGAACAGTAGTTTTGTAAAGTAAAATAAAAACAATTAGAAAAACAAAATTGAAAAAAATACCAACTTATCTGTTGTTAGATTCAGCAAACACAAAGATTACTCTGTCAGACTGCTATAAAATATATAAATTCTTACTTTCAGTTTCTTTCCTTATCCTGTGACACGCCAGTGACAGTTTGCAGACTGCCTCAGGTTCATAGATTATACTTTAAGAAGCTCTGTTTTAGATCAAATGTTAAGAAATAAAAGTTTTAAAAAGTTAAAAATAAGCTCTAGTTAAGATGAAAATGAGAAACAGCAAAGGCTCATTTGCCAAATTTTATTTATGGTACAAAAATCATACCTGTAGTTCACACTTTTTTAAAGAAAGGAATTCTTAACAGATTTTAAATGTTGGCATTACCTTTTTTTTTTTCTTTTTTCTAAAAAGATAGGCTATTTCTGTCATTTGCTTCTCTCTCTTAAAAACCATATGTTGTCTTGATCTTTAAATAATAACATCACTTCCTTAGTAACACTGATTTGCTTTTTGATTTTGGAATTTCGTGAAGTACAAACTTTCTTTGTTCTAATTTTCAGTTTCCCTTCAGAGCTTGTGTTGAGAAATTTTGTAGTTAGTTCCATGGAGCCCCGATTCCTTGCGGGTCAGTTCAGGCTCTCGTGTAGAGAACAGCTGTGAGAATTGGATTGATTTTTCACAAGCATTCATGTTAGAAGCCACAAGACTCTGTCTCTTCCATGGGAATTCAGGATGGGTTCAGGGCAGATCATGAAAATTGTCTGAAGGAGCTTATGGGTTCTTGTTTGGTGGGGCACAGGTTTCCTCCCAGAGAGAGAAATCACATAACCACTAATCTGGAAAGCACTCGACACACACCTGTACCATGAAGGGCTGCTCAGACCCTGGTTTACCCCAGCCCCCAGGACACCATGGGGCTCCAGTAGACGGCATTTCTGCCCCCCTGTGGCTTGGGAATAAAATTGAAATGTGACTAGCCCGTGGGCATCCAGTTGGCAAAGGGCAGAGCCAGGATTCAGCCAGTTCTGAAGGCTACATAACCCCTTTATCTACTTAGAAGAAAAATCTAAGCTCTCCTTATGGATTTTAAGGCCTTTCACCCCTCACTCCCAAATTACCTCACTACCTTTCCCCATACCCACCCAAGCTGCTGAGGATAATCTCCCCTCTTTATTGTTCTTCCAAAGCATATGTCATCATGCTTAGGTTTGTGTCTGAATCAGCCCTCCTGTTCAGCGAAGTCAGCAAGCTCCCTTATGTCACGCCTCAGAGAGCTCTTGAAAGCATAAGAAACTTCCCTTAATCAAGGTAGAAATTCCATTTCCCTCTAATAAAAGACTGTTTGATGTGTGACACCAAAAACCCTGGCATAATGTTTATGCACAATATACATGTTTACTGTACATGTTTGATACTGGTATCAAAAAGTTTGTGGAACAATGTGTCCTTATAACATGTTTTTCCTGGTAGTAGAATCAGTTTCATTCTTCAGACTCAAAGATACAGCCTTTCTCTTTCTGTATTGATAGATACTAAGATTTATAGAACATATTCAGTGCCAGAAATGGTGCTGGGCACTTTACACCCATGATGCTGTTTTAGAAGAAATGAGATGTTATAGGTATAATTGTCCATGGTCACATGGCAAGAGGGGGTGGCCCTGGCTTTCAAATTCACATCTGTCTAACATCAAAGCCCTGGCCCTCTCCCCTTTGCACGCTGTGGCTTCCCTCATGGAACAGGGAACAGAAGGATTAAAAGGAGGAGGAAGACAAGAGGGAAGGGGTGGAACCCTTTCAAACAGAGCACAGAGCTAACTCACCCTTCACGATGAGCTTTTTGTATCTCAGCCATTGAAACAACCGAGGACCATGTTCTTCAGGTTTCCCGTATCTCTGGCATTTACTAGAAGCCCTTGCCAATAGCAACCACAACAACAAAGTCAGAGTTCTTGTTAAAGCTTTCCTCTGCAAAAGCTGTTTGAACGCTGCTCTGGCAGCCTTCCCTGGAGAAGCTGCTGGTTGAAAGCTGGAAGGGAGTGGTTGCAGAAAATGAGAAAAGGATTCAAGAGGGGAGAAGGCCAGGGCATCCCAACCAAAGGCTTGAAGAGCTTCATAACCCTTAATTCATAATCCCCTGGAAACTCTCTTATGAACCAACTTGAAGCCTTGGTCTCCCCAGTGAAGAAATCAGTGCCCTACAAAACAGAGGCCATGCTCAGTAACCCAGCATGCATCACAGTGAGAAGAGCACCGCCACAGCTGAGCTCTGGGTCAGGCTAAATAGAGAAACCATCTTCTAGCCAAGGAGTCTAACAGCCCTTCCCAGAAGATCTCAGAGAAGTTACATGACTCAATTAGTATGTAACTGTGAGTGAGTCAGATAAACTCAGAGAGAAAACCCAGGGTTCTTTGTCCTCAGTGATTTAAAATGTGCTGAAGAGAAGTCTGGAAAGAGAGTTTGCTGAGTTTCCCCATCAGCTGTGCCACTGATTCACCCCTTTGGCTTGCTTAAGTTTTATTCTTCTCGGATTTGAATTTCTCTGAAGAATCAGACAGTACTTTCATTCAGAGAGCTTGTAACTAGGCCTGATACATGTGCAGAGTGCTCACTTCCTGCCCCCACAGTGTCCAAACCCACATCTCCAAATCCTCCAGACTTTTTCAGGACCTCTCAGCTGCAGGCGACCTTTCTCCCTTAGAGTCCCCTCGCACACAGATGGGCCTCGTTCCCAGCCTCATTCCTTCCTGCCAAGGTTATAGTCATATCTGGTCTTCCCTGCTAGACGGTCACCCTCTCAGGTGCAGGGGTCCTCTCCTGTTTGCATTACCACAGTGCCCAGTTACATAATCATTTAGTTGCTAAGTCATGTCCGACTCTTGTAACCCTATGGACTGTGGCCCTGCAGGCTCCTCTGTCCATGGAATTTTCCAGGCAAAAGGAATACTGGAGTGGGTTGCCATTTCCTTCTCCAGGGGATCTTCCTGACCCGGGGATGAAACACGAATCTCCTGCATTGCAAGCGATCTCCTCCATTGCAGGCAGATTCTTTACCAACTGAGCTACCAGGAGAGCCCAAGATGATAATATTCAAAAACATTTGTTGAATGAGTAAACATAATTTTATACTAAGAACCATAGTATCTTAGCATTTTTGGATAATCTAAGGGATCATGTAACTGGACTTCTTTCTCCAACACATTCTTTTTTGTTGTTGTTGTTGTTGTTGTTTGGGGTTTATTTGTTTTTTTCAACTTTTTATTTTGTATTGAGGTATAGCCAATCAACAGTGTTGTGATTATTCCAGGTGGACAGCAAAGGGACTTAGCCATACATATATGTATATACATATACATGTATATGTGTATGTACATATATATACATGTACCCATTCTCCCCCAAACTCCCCTCCCATCTCGGTCGCCACATGATACTGAGGAAAATTCCACGTGCTATAGAGTAGGTCCTTGTTGGCTATCCATTTTAAATACAGCAGTGCCAACACCTTCTTTTTTAAATACCCTGTAACTACAGGAACGACTTCCCTGGTGGCTTAGTGGTAAAGAATCCGCCTGCCAAGCAGGAGACAATTAAATAGCAACAAAGATCACTGCTTTTCCAGGCGGCCCATCCACTGGTAGACAGACGTCCACTGACAGAGGCGCCAGGAATCTGCCTGCTCTTAACTCCTCGCCATGGGCGGTGATCCCAGTGTCCTCCTCTCACACATTCAAGTCTTTCATGTACTTCAACAACTGATGGTGACCCTCCATCTCTGAGTACATTCTGCTGCATCTGTCTGACTCTTAAATTATGCTGTGGTTTTCTTGAGGCTAAAGGTTTGCATTCTCTGAAAATTTTATCATGGGTAAGGCTTCTCTAAGTGAGGAAAAAAAGAGAAATTAATTCTAGAGAAGAATCTTGGTCAATTTAATATCAGTATATTCAGCTGCATTTTGTCCTTAGTTCCCAAATTTATATTTCCGGTCTGGTCCTCTCCCTAAACCCCAGATCAGTCCATAGGCAGGTTCACTTAGATATCTGAAAGATATCTCAAAAGCAACTCTCCATCTTTCCCCCAAACCTCATCCACCTATGATCTTCCCCATCTCAGTTAATTGAGGCTCCACCCTACCAGTTGCCTAAGCCCAAATTTTGGCCCATTCTTGATTCTTCTCTTTTTCATACATCCCTCATCAGAAAACCCTCTAGACTGTGCCCTCAAAATGTGCCCAGAATTCAACAACTTCTTATCACCTTCACTGCACCACCTGGTCATTCCTCACCTGGGTGTGTGTAATTATGACCAGAGCCATCTGTCTGGTTTTACTCTTGCCCTTCCATAACCTGTTCCCTACATGGCAGCCAGAGGAGTGATGTGAAAATTGTATGTCAGATCATGACCCTCCCTCGTGTAGAACCTTCCCATTTCTCTCTGTAAATGCTGTGCTCCTAAACTAGCCACAGCCCATGCCGTGACGAAGCGCCCTCTTACCTCTCTGACTTCACCCCCTTCTCCTCCCCTCCTTGCTTGGGCTCCTGCAGCCACACTGGGTTCCTCACTTAACTCAGACATTACAGGCACACAGTCCCCTCAGGCCCTTTGCATAGCTGTTTCTTTGCAAGGCTTCTCTCTGCATGGAACCACCTTCACCCAGATCTCCGTGGAATTCATTCCTTCGCTCCCTCCAAGTCTGTACTCAAGACCCTTTTCTCATTAAGGCCTATCCTGACCATCCCATAATGCTGCACCCTCTCAGCCCTCCCAGTGTTTCTTATCCTGCTGATTTTTTCCATAGGAATCATTCTAATCTAGTAAAACCTCTTAAGATAGGCTGTTCATTGTTTATCATCTGTTGCCTCCAGTAGAAAGTAAGCTGTCTATGAGCAGGGAATTTTGCTTGTTTGCTAGGCCACCAACACTGTCCTTAATTTCATACTATCTCGGGATTTTCCATATAAAGATTAGCTGTAGCAGTTAAAAGGAAACTGTTACTCTTTTTTTCAATTTCCAGAATACTGTAGTTTCAAATTAATTAGTTCAATCATAAAAACTGTAGCCAAGTAAAAACTAAGCAGTAGTTTTCAATAGTAAATGGAATTTTCTTCTCTTAGTTCTAGAAATTAAATGATTGAAATTCAGTATCTGAGATGTTATGGCTGTTAATGAATTGGCACTTTGAACCTTGAAGTCCCAAGGTTCAAAGGCTATGCATTATTTATTATAGCAAAAGGCAAACAACTCATCCTTTATTGCTGAGAAATGAACCAAGAACTCTGAGGAAACTTTGGGCAGAAACTGTAAAATGGCTAAAGTTTCTTTGAATTAAAAAACTTCAGTCAGTGTTCACATTCTAAAATTTACCACATCTGCTCTGCCAATCCTAGGAACTTTTCACATTGATCTTATATTAGTTTTTACCTGACTCCAGTACACTGCCATTGAATTAGTTTTATAAATTAGAAAGAATAGGATTCTTGGGCTTGTGTCTTAAATGTTATATTCTGGTTAGATGTGGACTTCCAGCACCTTAAGGATGCTAGCCAACATTTAAAGGCAGTTGCCCTGACACCCAACATTTAAAGGTGCCCCATCTTCCTCATGTTTGGGTTGAAGCAGGAACGTGCCATGGTTCTCTTTTTGAGAACACAAAATTCCAAAGAAATCTATTGTTTCTGAATATGGAAGTAACTGATGGATTAAATGCACTCTGTGACCTGAAAGGAATGTGACTTTTTGGCCAACAAAGAACTAAAATATCTAAATGAAGATGCTGAAAGGAGATTTTCAAAATATTTTGAACAGCGTAGCATGGCTTCAGTATGTCTATAGTGTTCGAAGGTGACCTCGTTTGCTTTTATGTTTTTATCCTTGCATACATGTGTCTGAGTTTTTTAAAGTTACATCCTATATATCCAATATCCAATTTTCATAGTTAACAGACCCCAGGGCCCTCAAGTGAAAACACTGGGTGGCCTCCCCAGAAGTCCAAGGAAATGGACTTGCCACATGGACACTAACCTTTTGGTCTGAGACTTGAACCTTAAAAATTATTTTCCAAAGCCATGGGCAGTGACCTTGTCAGTTTCAGAAGACCACCACAAGAATAGAATTAAATGAGCCATTTGTACCAGTTGTCTGTTAAAGTTTCTCTCCTTGGTATTCATCTTACTGTTACAGAAATCATGGATCCTGATGAGCAATTAGAAACCCTTCACGAAGCTCTGAAACTGCTGCCGCCTGCTCATTGCGAAACCCTCCGGTACCTCATGGCGCATTTGAAGAGGCAAGTTTCCAACTTGGAATATACTTGTTCCACATCCAGATGTTAAGAATCAAATGAAAACAAAGGTGAAAGAGAGGTCAGGTGATCTGTCAAAGAATGAATAAATGCATAGCTGTCTTGTCTCCTGGTGTGAAATCACACATGTTGAGAAGGAAGGCTAAAAATATTCTGTACTATAAAATGGTATGCAGACTTGATTCTTTCATAAATGGATTTTCAGTTCCAGTATATGTTTGCAGACATGTTAGAAATACCAATATACTGCCAAGGACATGCATTAATTTTTGTGGAAAGGGAAAAGGTTGCAGCTATATAAAGACACTAGCATTAATATAATAAAGCAAGAAAGAAGCAACTTGCAAGAAAGCTCACTTTTCTTATGTCTTGCTACAAAATAGGCACTTCAGACTTACTATTTTAGATTTTTGAATTAATGTTGCCAACACTGAAACCTGCTGTAAAAAGTGATGCAGTAAAGAAAGGGGTAAAGAGAGGAATGGAAAATAAAATATTTCAATTACTTCTGGTTTAATGTTTTAAAGTGACGGATGGTGAGGTAGCTTTATTTCCCGGCTCCGTCACCCTCCATCTCTCCCAGTTGAAGCAAAGTTTCCAAGATTATATGACCAAATTTTAATGGTTTTAGGGTTCCCAGATGTAAGACCAATCAGAAGCAAACAGAAAAACTCAGTAGAACTTGACATCTACTTTGTACGCCTTTAGGTCCAAGTTACCCAAAAGTGAATATTTAGCTCATGGTGCTTTCAAACACTTTACATGTTCTCCATCCTTAGAAGCACCGTAAGTTAAAACTTTCAATATGCTTATAACTTCATTTATAAATTCAAGTTTGCTGCAAATGTGGATGCAGTTAAGAATGCCACACTAAAACAAAGGAATAACTCTCAAATTATAGTCTCTGTGCCTTTGCTGAAGCTATGAAAATCATAAAAATACTTAACACTCCCTGATGAGGTTGCTTACCCTGAGCCGTTTCCTGTTAATATCACTAGCACTCTCCCCCTAGATACTCAGTATAACTATTCAGCTCGCAAAAACACTCTATAGGAAACAAGATCTCGCCAAAGTGGAGGGAGAGCTGATGGAGTAATCAAGATGACCCAGCCCCTTCCCTCAGCTCTGGGCCGTAGCAGGAGAATCCACAAATAGAACAGAACCCGCGCAGGCCAGCACATCAGCTCTGGCTTCAGCTCCAGTGGTCATCAGAAATTTAAATTATTCCCACCATTTACTTTAAGGAGAGTCAGTACTTTGAGAAATAACCTAGCAGCAGGGTTGATCAGTGGACACAGCCCACTTTGAATCTTGTTTTTGTTTTAGCGCTCCAGCATGACAAAGACCCCCATGTCCTACACGAAGTCATCCTCCCTTTCTTGTGTTTTTTCAGAGTCACACTCCACGAAAAGGAGAATCTGATGAATGCAGAGAACCTTGGAATCGTCTTCGGCCCAACCCTCATGAGATCTCCAGAACTGGATGCCATGGCCGCCCTGAACGACATACGGTATCAGAGACTGGTGGTGGAACTGCTCATCAAAAATGAAGACATTTTATTTTAAATTTTTAGTTTGAAGGAAAAAAGAAATGTTTTACAGATGAAGGAATGTTTTATAGTAATTTAATTGGCTCTTATAGCTGAATTATTTCTTGGTTAGAAGTTTGGGCATATAACCAGATTAAAATGAAGGAACTTCCCATTGTTTCCATAGCACCGCTCAGCTGTCCTTGTAAAACAGTGAACACACACTTTCCAGTTCTAGTAATCCTGGGTGTTTATCATGTTCAGAGAAACTCAAGCTATTGCATGATTAGCCCCCTGTTTGGCAAGGGAACCCCATACAGAGGAGACACCAAACCCGCACCGCCCCTTCATCCTGGGTCGCCCATGGTTGTAATTCAGCATGTTTCGCAGAGTAAATCTGTCGTGACTTTGCTTTTGGGTCCTATGTCATTGCTTTCTGATGCTTCTATAAACATGCACACAAATGGAGAAGACAGTACCTCTGGCTGCTGCATTGCCATAGACTATAACACATGCCTACTTTTCTCAAATGCTTCATTTCTGGTTTCTCTTCGTTCTTCTCTAACATAGTACTTTCTTTCCAGCAAAAGCAAAATGTGTTTTCAGATTTGTTACTTTAGTAAATTATCTCTACCAATAAAAAAAAAAGTACAACAGAGCATTTTGTTAAGTTATTATTGGTTTTCAGTTGTAATTTTGTGTTTTTATCTGGCATGCATTTATTAATTTATTAAATTTGGCTTTTAGAAATAAAAAATATTGATAGCTTACTGTTTTCTCATGACTGATAGTATGTGGGAAAATGTGTTTGAGCATTTATTTAATACTGAGTATTCCTTGCCACCTCTTTTGTTTACTGTTGAAAGTTTTGCGTTGAATGCTCCTTTAAAAAGTAATTTAAAACTGCTTAGAAATAGAATACCTACTCATAGATTTATTTCTCTTCTTGCATACTCTGGCAGAAATCTAGACTATTTTCTCAATTTGGGGGGGGAGTGGGGAGGGCAGGTAGGAGTTCATTCTAGAGCCATCACAAAAAGAAAAAGGGCTAAAGCAAAAATAAAAAACCCTAACTTTCTAAACACTTGGTTTGTCAGCAGTGCGTGATGTTGACATGCCGTTGAGCTGACACTATCTGAGGTGAGTCTTAGGTAGCAACCTGCCAATGGGGGCCAGGTGGTCTGCACCCCACAGCACTGGGAGACCCAGGCAGCGGGCCTGATGCTGTCACTAGACACTCACATGCCTTTGAGCAAATGACCTTCCAGATTCTGTTTCCTCATCTGTCAAAGAGTGCCCTTCCAGAACTGAAGCTCTGTCCTCCTTTAAAAACTGAAAAAATAATACAAGACACATTTCCATTTTTGCCATTTCAGTCCGTAATGCTTTCAAGACTATCTCAATGATAATGGGAACTGACAGAAGTATGTTGTTTTCCGTATTTTTACCCTTAGGCTATAGTAGGAAGTTGATCGTATGTTTTATTAATGTTTATGCTCAGCAAAGTGTAGTTATGCAGTCCTTCATAACTATCTCAACCACAGTCACCCATGAAAAATGTCACTGCGCTAAGCAGCATGGGGTCCGTAGATTAATAAAGTTCAGAGATTAGTTTTCTGTAACATAGATGCTTTCTTCAAAATGGAGGTCACTGCAAGGCACTAAACCCTAAGGTGATGTTTTTGGCTTAGGAAACACGTTTGTCGGAAAAATCCGATCATGTCTGATGGTCCCAGGGTTAGGTACATCTGAACTGCCGCTACATACTAAGGACTAAAGTTTGTGTTGTACAAAGTACAAACAAGACTTCAGTTGTAAAGAAATATGCCTTATTAGAATATAATCACCCTTTTTTTCCCCTGAAAGTAACAGATACGCTTGACTTTAGAGCAGGCACTTTGTGGAATTAGAGGTGGATCTGGACCAGAAGCAGTGCCTGATCACAGTAAATATGAAGCAGATGTTCAGACAAAGTTGTGAGTATGTCTGCAGACAAGGTTACGGTTTCCCTGGTTTATGAACAGTGCACTGAGCATGTTTTCAAGTAGATGTATGTGTGGTTCCTTCCCCCAGGATGTGCAGATACAAATCACAGCCACATCATCTGTGAGCACCCTTGTACCATCGGGTGACACTTCTTGAACTGAAAGAACAAATCTCAGTCACTTAGGGAGGCTCTTACTCAATAATTCATCAGAGTCTTTCATATATGTCTTTCTAAAACTACTTGGAGATGTTTTTAAAGCATGACCATCTATAAAAAGAGGCAGCAACTTCAATCTCCATCCCATTGGGAGAGGGAGGAGAGACCAGTGAACCTCTCCAGCCTCTCCCATGGATTTGGCAGAACCGCAGATAACCCTGCCCTGAGCATCAAGCCCAGTTCTCAATTTTCTATATGTAGTTTTAAAGAAATTATTGAGAAATGAAAGACTTTCCTCTCTCTACATTTTTTGTTAGTTTTAAATGCCAGTTAGTTATACCAATCGGTCAGAGGAGGTAGTTCTTCACTGACTTGAGGTGAAAAAATGTGTCCCTAAGTGGAAGAATGGATATATATTAAAATGTTTCTGGTTACCTAATGAGCTCAACTAGAAGGCCTCTGAATAAATTAGCTTCAGGGCTCCAACACTGCTCCAAAATATTTGTTAAAATATTTTTAACAAAGTATTTTAGAGTTTATAGTCCAAAGCTGATTATGTTTTATTGGTAAATCCACTTACAGAGCCAAAAGTGTTTTTTATTTAATGCACAGTGGAAAAGCAGGATATCCAAACTCTTCCCAACTATGTTTTAGTCATCGGGAGGGTAGCTTCTTATGAAACTCTTAGTGTCTTTTTAACTTGAATTGCCTGTAGCAAGTCTGTATAACATTCATGTATGTCTCCTAGTGCTAGTGAGAGGCTCTCCTCTTAGGAATGGAAGTAACCATCCTCTCTACATACATCATTACCACACATCACACCTCCACTGGACACTGGGAAGCTCTGACCCCTGATTGCCGAGCGTTGTGGTGGGGGTAGAGAAGGCTGAGAGGAGTATAGCACTGTCCAGGGTCAGTCAGCACCTCCAGTTTCTAGCTATCTAGTTTCCGCTTGCATTGTCTCAACAAGCAAAGCCCAGACCTGCATCCCCTGCTCCATCTGCAGATTCCACACCTAGTTCCTGCCTGCTCCCTCCCCACGGGCCATGCACTGTGCTAGCCTGCGAACAAGCTTAGCTCCAGTTCTCCAGGAATTTACCATATCACCCTGGCCTAGGGAATCTGAATCCTGCTCTTTCCCGCCTTATTTCCTCGGGCCTCAGTGCTGGCTGCCTGGCCCTGTGGTGCGGGTGTGTTCTCTGGAAAGGCCAGCGGAGCACGGAGGCCCCATCATGCCATCCTCAGCCATGGAGTCCCTGGCCCCTAACTTCCCTACATCTCATGAGGCTCAGGGATGGTGGGCTCAGCCTACTATAGCCAAGTGCACTTGTAGCTCATTTTGGCCAATTCCACACATAGGTGGTGGTCTTTCTGGAAAAAAAGGGGATCTCAAACTGACAGCTCAAAGTCTCACCATTTATCTAAAACAGACTGTGACAGCCCACACATTTCCCTAATAGTAATGAAGGGGGAAAAAAACTGATGTGGTTTTCTCTAGATTTTGTACTGTCAAGGACTTAGATTATAATTAATACACCAGATCTTATTTAAGACCAGTTAGCAATTTTATTAATAACCATTGTATTAGTAACATTACAGATTCAAACATCTGTTGGTTTCCACACATTCTTCTACCTTATCAAAGTCATTGGGGCCTCTCAGCAAATACTTAAATAACTTTTAAAGTAAAATTATTTCACTAGTCCTGCATATCACACAGGCATCTCACGTCAATTGATATTTCAGCTAAGCTAACATCAACACATAGTGTGAGGAAACCCCTGATTTATGAGATTTTTGTTCTCTGCTGAAGAGATAATATTTTAATACAGTCAGTAATAGCATATTTCACAAAGTAAATGTTTTCTGTTATTGCTTATTCCAAGGATAGCACAAAACAACAAGTATAAGCATGTTGCTGACCTAGTTTTTGGAGCTCTGAAAGTATCAGGGGGGTTATTGTTCAGATGCAGTCATGATTAATTGTAGCAGGTAACATCAGCATGTGAAGCTAGATACATTTCTAGTTCTGAAACATAAATACTTAACTGCCCATGTCATTGTGGTAATACAGAAAGCAGAGGAGGTAATGTTTAGAGATTAAAACGACTCACTGAAGAAAATTAGCAAGAGGGGCCTTTCAGAGGTAAAATGTTGTAAACTTGGAATATTCAAGAAAACATAAAAATCTTTTGGTTTTCATTATGTGGATCTCAGACCAGTGAGTCTTCTCTGATGTGTCTATGGGTAAAATGTGGGCACAGGCTGGGGCTTGTCTGTGCCAAAAATCAAGGCCCAGCCTGCTATCTGGATGCCTTTCCATAGGAATGAACATTACCCTAAGGCAGTTTTTATTCTCACCAAAGAAAATTTGTGATTTTGAGGAATAACTTGCTCAGGTTTTTTTTTTTTTTTTCTTAATTGTATCCAAACTATATGAGAGAGGAGATGGGCATGCAAAGGTTAAGTTCAACTACATCAGTGCCAGCTCTGTCCCAGGATTCCAGGAACACTGTGATATCCAAAACACAAAACGTGGAGGTGGAGGGAGTAAAAATGTAGAGCTTTAGAATACACTCAAACTTGTTATCATCTTAAAATAGACTGTTACAAATATAAGTTGTTTTATGTAAGCTTCATGGTAACTACAGAACAAAAACCTGCAGTAAATACACAAAAGATAAAGAGAAAGGAATCTAAGCATACCACTGCAGAAAATCATCAAATCACAAAAGAACAGAACCGGAATAGAAGAAAGGAACAGGAACTACAAAACAGCCAGAAAACAATTACTGATAACAAAATGGTGATAAGTACACAATTATCAATAATTACTTTAAATGTAAATGGACTAACTTCTCCAATTAATAGACATAAAGTGGCCATATGAATAAAAAATACAAGGCCCATCTATATGCTGCCTACAAGTGACTCATATCAGAAGTAAGGACACACATAGGCTGAAAGTGAGGAGATGGAAAAAGATATTTCATGCAAATAGAAACCAAAAGAAAGCTGGGATAGCTATACTTATATCAGACAAAATAAGACATAGACTATATATAATAAGAGACAAAGAAAGCCATTACATAACAGTAAAGAGGTCAGTCTAACAAGAGCTTATAACATTTATAAATATTTATGTTCCTAATCTAAGAACACCTAAATATATAAAGCAAATATTAACAGATCTGAAAGGAGACTGCTGCTGCTGCTGCTGTCACTTCAGTCGTGTTCGACTCTGTGCGACCCCATCCCTGGGATTCTCCAGGCAAGAACACTGGAGTGGGTTGCCATTTCCTTCTCCAATACTAGCAATGCAATAATAGGAGGGGACTTTAACTTATCCATGGATAGACTCCAGACAAAATCAATAAGGAAACATGGGCCTTAAATGACAGGTTAGGCCAAATTAATTTAGCAGACA